GATTCTGTAAATTCAAGTGCTACAAGCCCCGCTTACTTTTGTCTCTCTGTCCCGCCCCGCACGTGATTTTTTTTAACCACGCCTATCGATGAACCAGTAGCTTTATGTAGAAATGAATGATTTTTATTATTGGTAGTTTTATCTCGGACAAAGAATTTTAAACTGTAAAAATAAAGTGTTGACAAATCGTACTTTTTGATGCTATTGATTTTAGTAAAATTTTGTGTTTTCAAATTTTCCAAAAGTTTTTTTTTTTTTTTAATAGAATTTTTAAGTATCCACATTTGATTAACACCACTTCTCGAATATACTGTTGAATAGTACTCCTGAAATTTCTCTTTCATTACAGTAAATATTTTAGTGAGGAGTAAAGAAAGAGGCTTGGAAGAACATTTACTGGAACCCTCTATGTATCTTTGTTTGTAAGAATTTTTATGAAGTTTTGGAATCCAGTAAAGGTATGGTAATTCAAATTCATTTTGATTGTTGGGAATATTAAAATTATCCAAAACGGACATATGATTTTGAAGAATTTCCCCCTTAGAAAGGGAGAATTCAATAAATTTGTTATATCAGTTTAAATTCGTTATAACAAATTCAAAGCAGTTGTTATAACGAATTAAATTCATTATAACAAATTCGGCAATTCGTTATATCGAATTCAAAAATATTTTTGATAGGTCATAAATGGGCTTCCGTAGTGATGAAAGGTTGCATAGATTTATAAGAGTTATGGCTAAAAAGGTAGAATTTGGAACGAAATCTACAATTTCTTGATACGTGTATTTTTAGAGATTTGATATATGCATTATTAACAACCAAAATAGGCCCAAAATTATATGCATATTTTAGTTTGTAACATTTGTCCTTAAACATAACAAAAAATTCAATGAATGTTTTGATGATATTATTAATAAATTCAACTGATTCAAATACCCGTAACTTATTGTATTTTATCTCTCTTCAATTCAATTCAATTATTGCGCGCATCAATTCAAATGTTTATAACATTAATTAAATTGAAGAGAGCAACAATTCAAATATTGCGTACATCAATCAGCAAATAAATTTATGCTGTCAACAACAAATTAATAATTTTCAGAGATGAAGTTATCTTAAGTTATTTTATGAGATCTTCATCAACTGAATTGTTTTGCGCATCAAACGAATTGATGATATCATCTTCTATTCCTCAAATTTATCTTCAATTAGTCAATTACTAATATATGAGACAGAGTTTAGAATGCTAAATTTATGCGCTCCATAACCTACTGGAAATAGGAAAAGTATGGCATTCAAACGTTGCAATATTCGTTCCTGTCCATTTGTATTCAATATTTTTTCATTTGTTTTGAACATATATCACAATTCATATGTATTATTTTTTTTATCTGTATTGTAAAATTCTTCATTTGTTTTCTTTATTATTTTCTTTTAATTTGTATTGTGTGTTTTCCATTTGCATTGTATATTTTTCTATTTGTATTCTATAATTCCTATCTGTATTCTACAATTCGTTATCTATATTGTATAACTTCCATTTGTATTGTAATATACATCATTTGTATTGTAGAATGTTCCAATTTTTATTGTATGTGCAATCCATTTGAGTTTGTTAATGAATTTTACATGTATTTATAAATTTTGTTATCGAATACAAAATGGAATTCACATACAATACAAATCGAAACATTGTAAGATCAAATGATGTATCATACAATACAAATAGAAAATATACAATACAAATGAAAAAAAGAATAAGAATACAAATAGAAAATTATAAAAAAAAAAAAAAATACAATAGAAAAGTAAAGAATACTAATGTAAAATAAAAGAATACAAATTTTAGAAAATGTACAATTCAAATGAAAACATTCATTACAATTAAAAAACATAGAATACAAATAAGAAATTATACGATATAAATTAAAAATACAGACTACAAATGAAAAAAGAATACAATAAAAATGGAAAATTATTCAATATAAAAGAAAAATACTAGTAATAGAATACAAATGATAAATTAAAGGATATAAATGGAAATTATAGAAGACAAATGGAAAATTCTACAATACAAATAAAAAAAATTACCTAATACAAAAGGAAAAGCTCGAATATAACGACGTTTGACATGCCATACAAAGTAAACACATTTTATTATACCCACACTTTCTAAAGAAAGAATCGTGACATTATCCCGATCCGTCCGTTACACTTTCTTCTCTTTTAAACTCTATTACATTTTACGCAGTTGCCAATTCATCTTTTAGAATATGATTCGTGGTGCTTAGGTACATTGTATACAAAGTTTTCTGAATTTCCTTTTTCATCCGGGGGATAATAAGGGATCGTTTTTCTTAAAAAAAAAAAAAAAAACTCTTACATTTTACGCAGAAGCCGTATCATCTTTGGAATGTGATTGGTGGTGTCCTGTCAATGTGCAGTCAATAAGGATTCAGAATTTTCATTCTGGGGACCAACTGGAGGCCGAAAAAACATTTATTTGCAAATACAATGTTTGCAGCTCTAAATTTTTTTTATACAGTAGCCATATCATGTTTTGGAATATTCTTGGGTGTGACCTTGTAAATGTTCAATAAGGTTTTGGAATTTTCATTATCACCCTGGGTATTAAGTAGAAAAACTACCCAGGTTAGATGGAACTTGTACTTTTAAATTAAATTTTTTTTAATTATTATTAATATTACATGTATTATTTAATTTTTTCAAATGGATACATGGGTGCTTTAAGGGGTCAGTGATTATGAAAGTCACTTCAAATGTTTATCTCCCAGAGATTTTTTGTTTTAAAAACCCTATTTTCTTGTGCATAACAAACTTCCAAAGGATTCCAAGAAACATATAACCATTAATTTCTATATGAAAGTTATTCCAACAAAAAATGACTGGTATCAGAAAAATCCCGTCTACTTTATTTCATGGAAGGTTGGTACTTTTTTTTCTGAAACTGGCGAAGTCTCTGTTTTCTTACATAGCATTGCCAATTTCAGTGGGAACTAAAAGTGGAAACACAGTAGCTTAATTGAACAAACCTGAATTCTGTCTAATTTTAAACTGTACAAGGTTTAAGCATCAAGATTATTCGTCTTATTCGTCACTGGGCCCTGATGACCGAAGAGTGTTCACTTTTTTGATTTGTTCACATATCAGGTAATTTATGGTATTTTGATAATAGTCAAGTATTTTAATTTTCATCAATATCTGGTATGTTTCACTGTATCGTTATAAACTGTAGGTACGGCTGAATCCCAAATAATGCTGTAATGGTACTAGTATTTAGAATTTGACGGCTGAAAGATATTGCATTACAAGTATTAGCTTTCCTAAAAAGCTTGTCTGACTTGAGCAAATTTATTTTTACGTGAAGAATCAAGAAATGTTAAATACAGTATAATCAACATGAGTCTTAGTCATGAAATGAATTCTTTTGCTAAGAAACAAGAAAATTTCAATTCAGTGGCATCAACATAAAATAAAACTTGACATGAATTTATTCGGTGTACATTATATTACTTGTAATTTCTTTTTTCTTAGATGTAGGAACCGGGGGGGGGGGTCCCCCAATAATTTTGTCGATTTATATACATAGCTATTTTATGATTGTGTCACCTAAATCATATAATATTAACTTCTGATAACTTTTGTATGCTCTATAAGGAATTTTTCCTTGATAGTGTCCACCCTAAACTGCAAATATCTGAAATTTTCTTTTTGAAAGAAAAAGTTGCAACATATAAAAATCTAAACATCAATTGGTGAACAATTTTGATAGTTAAGAAATGTCTTGTTTAAAAAAATGAACGTAGCTAACATCTTTGCATTTAAGGACAAATGATACAAACAAAAAATGGATGTCTGGATGTCTGGATAGGTGTATATTTTTGGACTTATTTTGATTGCAAATGATGCAAATAATAAATTTCTAAATTATTAAGAAATTGTAAACTTTCTATGGTGTTCAAAATTCTACCTGTCTTCAACCATCCTTATTAATCCTTATTAATCTATACAATTTTTGTCACTTTAAATCTTATTAATGTGAAATTTCGAATGAAAAATTAAAAACTATGCGGTTAAATTTATTCATTTTACTTATATAAACATGGCTTTAGTTGTTATTTTCAAGATATTCAATAAAAGTTTGTATCATCTATCCTTAAGCAAAAGAATATTCAACATCCATCCTTCACTTTGATAATTTTTGAACTATGTTATAGTTACATTATAGATATTAACTGGTTATTGGTAAATACACTCACAATTTTTAATTCACGAGGGGCTTTAATTCACGAGGGGCTGAAATCAAACATCTGCAAGTTATGAATACGTGTAGATTTATAAAAATTCTAAAGGTAGAGAGTCTTAGTATGTATTGAAAATAAACATCCATTGGTTAATCTGATAAAGATAATCGACAAGTGTTGACCTGATCAGCTTCATTCCTGCTGTTTTGCTGGACAAAAATGATATGCATTCGAGAATGGCCAAATGTTATGTAACCTGTAATGTATAATGTGATAATAAATAGGTCCAGTACTCTGGCTTGTTTGGGTGTTTAGCATGATTGTTTTCTGTACTCCCCATGCTCTCCAACTGATTATGAAGTTTCCAAGATCAAGTTATCACAAGAATTCTATTGAACGACTTGACCAACAAGCCTTGGCTAAATCTAATACTGTCTGACGCCATGACGTCAGACAATAAGGGTTAGGATATGGAACAGAACAATCTTCTTCATTGGGGTACCAGAGAGAGAGAGAGAGAGAGAGAGCATCTTGCATTTTTCCTTTTTGTACAAAATGCCATTTGTAACCAGACTACTAGTATGTACAAATGGACTTAAACAATATAACTCGCCCCCAAAATCTGATTCTTTTTATTGATTTCATAAGCATAAGTCATCAAATAAGAGGAAAAAAAAAACAAACAAACAAATAAATTGTAAAAATACATAAATAAAAAATAAAGAAGACTGAAAATTGTAGGGTAAAAACATCAACACGAACAAAACATTTAGCACTTCCGTTTGTGGCATAAAACAGCTGTAAATATGCAAATGAATGACGAGAGAAATCACTGCTAATTTGAGGTTGGGACCGGAGAAAATGCGGAGAAGTTGTTGGCTAGAGACTCCCCACACTGTAACATATTTGAGTGTGACACAGGATAGGGCCATTCTGAAGCAGCCATTGTCTCAGAGGAGGGCGACTGTATGATTTGGTTTCTTTGAGATGCTTCGCGGTCCCGCCTTTCTCTCGCTCTTCTGTTCTGGAACCATATTTTAACCTTAAAAAGAAGGCTAAATTTCAAAGAGTAACCAATAATATGCATAATTTAAAACAAGCATGAAAGTTGTTGGTATCAAGTAAGTCGTCTAGATTTACCTCTTCTGTATAGAACAATTTAGTCTCTATTTTATAAGGATACAGTGTTTTTGTTAGAGTAATTTTCTAATTATAGTGGAAAAGTGTCAACAATGTGTTAGATAAATAAATTGCAAAATTAAAGCCAAATCAGGTGTTGAAATGCTATCCGGGCTTCTCTTCCAGTGTGCTAATTCAATAGACAGATATCCGTAAATGAGGCTTTATTGAACACCTTCTGCAGCAGCCCCTATTATTACTTTCCACCTTCTTTACCACCTCGGAGGTTGAAATAGGAAAAGGGTGAGACAACAAGCCTATGTGACGTTTTTCTGACAGTTTACATATTAACTTGTTAAATGCTAATCATACATAACTTGTGTAGTGTAGGAGATTAGTTGTATAATTTATTATTATTATTATTATTATTATTTTTTTTTTTTTTTTTTTTTTTTTTTTGCATTACCAAACTATATACTGAGTAGTGGTATATATTTCTGACCCCTACGTGCAAGATAAATTATGTCGAAATACGAAAAAGACGTATCAACATGCGGGGAAATTATGTATACATGCATGATCATAAGTTGCCAAGCAAGTAACCGATCTTTTTTAGAGAATCTGATTTTGAAATGGTTTAATTTACTTACTAATGCCAGAATCTGACTTAAAAACATGTAAAATGCAAGATATTTATGTGAAATGCGAATTATTTGTGGCAACTTTCGAGATAATTATGTCGACATGCAATATAGTTATATCGACTTGACATTTATCTCGACATACGAGCTTATTATGTTGATAGGCAACCAACATAATTATTTCAATTATGCAAAATAATTATGTTGTCAATATAATCATTTCGCATGCCGGCAAAAATAAATCACATGATGACATAATTATGTTGCATGGCGACATAAATAAGTGGCATGTAATAAATTTAATATATACATATAATTTAAATTCCATGTAGGGGGTAGTAATATGTCACCATACCAAACAATTCTACCTAGGGTATCATGCAAAGTTTCGAAATTTTACTCTCATCTTCCCTCAACTAAAACTCACCCAACACCTTATAATATATAGAAATATCATGTTGCAAATTTTGAATTTATTTCGTGAAGGTAAATAAATAATTTACAATTTCTTGTTTCTAATATACAATATTTATCTAACAGCCTTGTTTTTAAAACTTAAAATGGTCTGGTCCTGTACAAAGGATAAGGATAGGATAGGAAAGGATAGTGCTCTTGAAATTGCATATCATTCATTAATTTTGGGCTTATTCATAAATTCAAAATGTTTTAAATACTCAGTCTGACAATATATTTTAAGAATAAATTTTAGAATTTTTATGTTGATATTGAGTTTGCATATGGTATATTTGTTCTACAATACAGCATGTATGCTATATTGACATTGATTTTGTTTAACATTTTTGGTTTATCATTTAATGGTTAAAAGAACTTTGTCTGCACCTTGTTTAGATAAAGATGGCTCAATTATATAGTGGATATTTAAGAAAAAGACCACCTATGGTGTTGATCATGACCCAAACTACCGCCATTCACTTCGACATTTGTGGGAGAATGCTTGTTGAAGACGGAACCATTATATTACAGGAATAACAGGGTTTGGACTTATCATTAAAAGTATTTACTGACATTTAAATCGTTTAATATTCTGGTTTAGTAACATTAATGAATAAGCGGGACTCGCGCTGCAATAAAATTTAAAGGAGGAAATGTCTTACAGAAGGTGAAATTTTTTTAACAAAAGTCACAGAATTAAAGATTAGTAGACAGTAATGATTGTCTTTTGGAGAGATTCCAGACTGGATGTACGTTTGCATTTTTATTGATAAAGCTGACATTTTTAGTATAAACAAATATGTTTCTCTTTCCGAGACACTGACTAACGTAGATACGTTCCCCTGTACCCATGCAGTTATTATATTTGGGGAGAGGACTATCAACGTTTTTGGAACTTATGTCCAATCCCTTTAACATATTGTCCATAAAATAAACAATTCCTATAATACAGATGGAAGTGTTCACAGAGGACAGGATTATGACATATATGTAGACAGCCTGACTTTATAGAAGTTGAATTCGATCCAGTCAACGGTGACTATAACCTGATCATGAATAGAAGACTATTTGTAAGATAAATGTAATAACATTTCATTGCCCTTTCAAATAGGATGCATAACATCTGAGATGCACTTGATAAACATCAGTGCTCCTTTAAATGTCATTTATGGAACGCCAAATTAACATTTAATAGTATATTCATATAATTGTACCTATCCTCAAATATGTGTACTTATCTTCAAATCAATTTTACAGTTGATTTGAAGAGAGGTATAAAGGACTGAAGATAGGTACAAATACCAAGAATTAAAGAAAGATATAATTGATTTAAAGATGAGTGCAACTGAATCGAACCTAGGGAAAATTGATTTGTACCTTTTTTCAAATCTTCTGTGGAAATGCTGCCTATCTTTAAATATAACGGTACCTATTTTCAAATGATTCAAAGATAGATTTTGAACTTATCCATAGGGCCTAACTGAATAGAAGCTATCTCTGTAATGGAATTAAAGATAGGTGTAAATCATTTGAACATGGGTTCAAATATTTAAGGATAGTTGTATTTATTTAGACCTATCTTTAATTCATTTAGACCTATCTTTAATTCATTTAGACCTATCTTCAATTCATTTGAAGATGGTTACAAATATTTAAATATAGATGCAAATATTCGAATAAAACTTAATTTGGCGTTCCATAAGTTTAAGTGAAATTCGAATTTATTTTGTTTTCGAGATTTATAAAAATGCATGATTTTAGAAAGACGAACAGACATCTTTGGAACAATGTATATTGAGAAAGAGTTCAAGTAGAATTAGCTTGCTGCCCAACATCTTGCATGCATTGTTCTATCTATATATGGAACATAATATGGTTTAAATTTAAAAATTGCTTCCTATTCGTGATAAAGCTTTCTCGTGATTCTGTGATGTACCATTTTTATATATGTGGTACAATTAATTTCGTTATAGTATTGCCTCTGAAATACTGATAGTAAAGCGTATCACTATTATGACTAAAACAACAAGGCAATATATAATAGGGTTTGATATCCTTGCATTTCTGACAAAATACGATACACAGCAATTAAAGACAGAATCAAGGCGTTATATGATTTTTTTTTTCCGACACGTTCACCAAACAGTAACCTTATCATATTTGCAATTTAACGAAGAAATAGTAAACCTGATGAACGATGTTTATATCCTTTTTATGACATATCGTAAATGAGATTCAATGAAAGATTTTCAATTTTCTTTTGAATATCAGACATATCTTTCAAAGTGAGCTTTCGTTGCTCTATCGGTTTATGTCTAGTCTGTTCCAAACAAGGAGTCTTTCCCGCGATTTTTCTTGTATATTTTCTATTAAATTTCACAATTTTTCATTGGGATGGGGGAGAGATAAAAAAATTTAAAGAACTCCTCAAAGTATGAATGAATTTTAAAAAGTGTGATACTACTACTCTCTGTGTCTGTAAAGTCTGTTTAAAGATTAAAGTCGCCCGCGTGACGCAGTGGTTAGAGCGTCTGCTCTAGAGTCGCGAAGTAAGGAGTTGATCCTTACGTCGCGGGTTCGAATCCCACTGTGGGACGTGGAGACCGGTCCTTCGGATGAGACCGTATAAAGCGAGGTCCCGTGTCGCACTAGGTGCTGGCATGATAAAGATCCCTCACTGCTCAATGGCCGTAAGTGCCGAGCATAGGACAAAACTTGCAGCTCTCCACTGGCAAATGGTGGCGTCTCCATATGAGTGAAAAATTCTCGAGAGGGACGTTAAACAACATACAAACAAACAAACAATAAAAATTAAAAAATACAATAAGCCCAGTCTTGCTTTTTATATGTTAAATCATAGAATTCAATGTAGTAAGCATTAATAGAAGGCTGTTCATGCCATTTAAACAACCATTTTGTCGAGCAAATAGCAAGGCTAGAAGTTTATATAGAGAAAGGTTGCTTCAAAAGCAACGAAAATTTTTGTCAAATTGAGAGAGAGAGAGAAAGCATCAATAATGGTTGCTCCACTGATTAAATTGCTAATTAACGATCAATTTAGAAAGCTTTTTCTTGAAAAAGGAATCTTAATAAGAAACATAATATGAGATTTTGCTTGTTTAACGTTGCCATAAATATTAAAATTTATAATAAAACTGTCTGTGTTTTTGTTTCAAGAGTTAGTAACGCATAGCCGAGTTGTCGTCAACTTACCAATTTTCTACCATGCTGATATAAATATGAAGCTATTAGTTTACTTGTAAGACATATAGATTAACGGACAAAGCTTTCGTTCTAATTTATTTCTCTAATAATGCAAGAAGCTTTCAACAAACGTGCTTTCGCTACTGTATTACCAATAATCATGTTGTTTGATGCCAACATCAGAATGAATAGAGCCAAACAAGTGGGGTTTTTTTTTTAAAAAGAAAAGGTGTAACATTCGGTAAAACTGAGTTGTATGTTTACTGGATCCTTCCCAATCTCTTTAAAGTCAATAGAGAAACGAACGGAAATGTTTAAAATAGTCAAAACCCTCATCAGCAAATAAACGAATTATTTTATGTTATAACACAAGTGAACAATTAACTTTTCTCCAAATTGTTGTCTCAGAAGTGAATCAAATTATAACACTCCCCAGTATTTCGCAGGGGTCTACATACTTAAGTTAGGATGAGGGTCCCTGATTGCGCACTATAAGAAAAAGTATTTTTTATACACCATTTTACAACATTTATGTTTGTATCTTAGAGTACCTGAGATAAAAGAAATATTTTTGATGATTCGTTACAAAATACAAAAACCTTGCAGGAAGCAAAGTAGTCTGTGGCGTAATGTGCGCGCAGATGGTTATATTAGCCGGGTGACCGGGATTAAATCAACTTTGCAGCCGATCAGAAAAAATTTAATTGTTCATTGGCAGCTAAACTAGATATACGACCTATTCAACGCCTCTTCTCCTTCAGTAGCACCTTGTATTTTTTAAATAACACAATTTTTAATATTCATTACATGTATTCAGTTAATCTCGAGTTGGCAACAACTATAACGAATTTCGTTTCGTTGCTTGAAAGTCAAGATAACTGAATACCTATATTGACAACAAATCTTGTCTAGAAGCAATTCTCATTTTAAAAATGAAATATTTATTTTGAAACCAAGTAAATACAGTATTCATTACCTAAGTGTGCTTAAAGTGTAATCACACCGAATATAATAATCATTTTCCACTTCTACTTTTATTAGTTATTGGAAATTAAAGATGGTCACCATACTTAAGATGGTCACATGACAAAATGAAGGAGCATTTTGTAGAATTACACGAGGTCTTCTGTTTATTATAAACAGGTTTTATATTTTTTTTATTTTTCCATCAGAAAAATTGAAAATTAAAATTACTAGTACCTAAATCTAAGATAATAGTAATTAAAAACAAATTCCATAATCCATCAATATAACCATTTTTTAAGTACATGTATTCAGATGTTCAGTTTTGTTAATTTTACATCATTTAAAGTCAAACAATTATGTTATTCAAAGGAATCGAGAATCTGGCAACCCTAAAATTCTATAATTTGAAATATAAGCATCTTATATCAAAATCATTGTACTCTAATTGTAAAAAAATATTTATATACGTGAATTTCCATTTAATGAAGTTCAACTGAATGAATGAATGTAATTAAAAAATGTTTGTTAAAAAATAAAATTTTAACCTTTTTCATTTCAAAGAAATATTTGAGGTTGTCTAAGAAAACTTCTTTTTTACTTAAAGGCAACAGCCTCTTTCTAATTACATTATAAATAACATGACGACGAGTCGAAGAATATTTGTACAACAAAACAAAAAAAACTGTATTTGGTTCAGTTTTTTAAAACTTACTTTCCACATTAATATCATAATAATGAATAATACACATCTGTATTTTAGGAAACACGTCTTTTTGTTATGGCAGAAATAAATACTAGAACTTCAGGATTGAGTGAATTATATACCCTCTCTCAATATTTTGTTGAAAAATGAAATCCTTGCCCTTTGCTCGTTTTTATTTTCCATCATTTATTGACATTCAAAAATTAAAACTAACCCTCAAAACAAAATCTAAGGTATAAATGATGAATTAATAATAGATTTTTATTATAGGCGTAAAAACATATACAAACTTTTGATTTCTTTTTTTCGTTTAGATATATATACATACATACACGGAACTTTTGTTAATAAATGGACAATCATTCTTATTGACAATGATGAATGAAATATTTAATAGACAAAATGATACTGCTGCCTGCATCAATATTTTTTAATAAAAAAATGAAAATAAAAAATATTCACTTATCCCCTGAAAAAGTTAACCTTCATCTCTCTGAGAGGTTTTATTCTGACGCTCTCTTGATACACTAGTAAAAGAACTCTATTGTGTCAAAACACAGTATAATGCATTTTGTTTCACAATTAGATTTTTAAAAATCCAATTCACGCATTTTCTTAGACACATAAAAGAAATATAGTCATATAAATACTAGTATATTAACAGGAAAGGATCAGGCTACCGTATGAATTACATAAAATATTCACATTTGAGTGATGTAAAGGCTTATGAGAATATATTTAATAGGATAATAAATTTTGTTTGTACTCTCGACAGCAGAACAAATTTATATACAAAAGCTTATATCAATAATGCCTTTTAAAACGTAAAATGTAACGGGCGTTTCATAAAAAACATTGAAATGCGTTTCAAAGAAATCTTATACTCCTTGAGACACATTTATACCTATTTTATGTTTGTAAGTACCAATTTCTACCTAAAATAAAATATAACATTGTTGACAAAATGAATTAGTTTTTTTCTTTTTTGTTTTTTTAAATAATTTAGGTATATCTTTTCTTTTAACAAACTTGTCTCAAACATTGAAGAATAATTTATATTGCAATAAACTTTTTATGACATACTTTGCTCAAACCACTGTTAATTAGATCAAGGAAAAAAAACCATCTAAAACACTAGTGTACTATAATATCTTCCTGCTTCAAAATATATCTTAACATTGTATTTGCTTCATCGCACTTTTCTATAATATGTAATAAATCAATATTACTTAAAAGTAAGTACAATCATAACCATATAAAATTCAATGATCTTGCTGAATATCAGATTCAACAGCAATAAAGTAAAATCATTTATTTACTGCATTTTTACCAAAAAACAAACAAACACGAGTGTTCTGCAATAAAATTTACCTTAACAAATGTTAAGAGACTTACCTTACTGGAAATAGGCAGACAGTGTGTTAACGCACTTTGAATAAAATCACGCACTTTGAAAAAAAATTTCAAAGTGCGTTAAAATTGGGACAAAATCAACGCACTCTGAAAAAAATTTTTAAAGTGCGTTAAAATTGGGACAAAATAAACTCTTTTTTTTTTTACCATGGAGACACTTAACGCACTTTGAAAAATATGCTTAAAACAAAAATATTGGACTTACATTTTTAGCAAAAGACAGCATTATTTTGTCATATTTCTTTCGAAAAGATGGATAAATTGATCTTCCCTCATCAAGAACTAGGAGAAAACAGGTAGAACTTCCCTCAGCCCAACTCATGGTAAGACATGCTATTTGACATGTCTGTCCTTTTTATGATATCAAATTAACGATTTAGAAGTAATCTTACTGCATAACTTTTGTTTCTAAGATTTTTTTTTTGAGAATAAGTTATCAGTGAACGAGGTAAAAATATTTCAGTCGAGTGAGTAATGTGGCTGACGTTGATTTTTTTTTATCAAATAAATGAGTCAACCATTGGTTCATATTTGTTCATATTTTATTGGTATTGAAAAATCGTTTTAAAAAACGTAAAATTTATTTTCAAAATTAAAAAAAAGAAAAAAAGAAACGAAATTGTACTATTAAACAACCATTCCTCCATTATTTCTGAAAGACCCATTTCCCTTTTATAACATTTATGGAAACCTTTTGGAAGAAGACAACCCCTAAAAATCTTTCAAAAAGTCTATTATTTCAGATCCTGAAGTGACATCATCACCGAATTAAAACTTATCCAACAAGGTTCAAACAATTATTTATTAACCCTAAATTTGCAAGAATATTGACCAAGCCGTGAACATTTTTGTTTCAAGTGCGTTAGTATGGTGGAAGTTTAACGCACTTTGAAATTTTTTTTAAAGTGCGTAATTTTTTCAAAGTTTGTTGTAACAAGGCAGGTTTCCACTTAAAAAAAAGAAAGAAACCCGCCCAACTTTTAAAATATTTATCTGTGCTTGTATTTTATCTTTAAAAAAAAAAAAAAAAAGACATGTATCCGAGTCACAGTGATTATGCTTCCAGTTGTATTTTCCTTCGATAAAATCCTTTCGATTTTTTTTTCTTATTATGCTTTCTTTAAATCATATCCTCCTCCCAAGAAATAGGATTGAAAGGTTTTGATCATGCTCCTTGATAAATTATAACTTAGCCATTATTTAGTATCTAAATTTTCAAATACAGGATCAATACGTTTTCGAATAAGATTTTTTTTTTTTGGATATGCTTTTTAACATCTTTTACATGCTATCTAATTATATTTTGAGAGTCGTAAAAACTGGGAAGCCCCTTAAGATCAAGGCAGCATGATACTAGAATTATTTTGAGAAGCTGAAAAAGTGTCATGATGCCTGTTGTGATATAATTTTGGGCCTATCTCCATTTTTTTAAGGAATGGTTTTTGTACATTTGACTGTTACTGTTCTCAAGTAAATATGGGAAGTTTAAAATTGACATGTGAAAAAAATACACGGTTCGTTCCGCCATGTGTGCGCATAAATGGTTACAATTGCCAGATGGTCGAATGGAGTAAACTGTGATCGAGCGCAGCCAATCACAAGAGGTTTGACGGTATATAATATTATTACAAATTATTTAAAGCAAATAAAAATTTATATATATATATATATATATATATATATATATATATATATATATATATATATATATATATATATATATATATATATATATATATATATATATATATTATTCTTTACTGTGTAGGACTTTTTGAATAAAGTGACTTCTTTCTATGCAGGATTCATTACAAATTACCTCTCTATGAATTATTTCATGTTTTAAATGTGTTCAGCTTTGCAATGCAATTGCAACAAGTCTTGTTTAGAGGTATAAAGTAAACTTAACATAACTAAAATGAGATGATGACTTTCAACTTAGATCTATTTTGGATACCATATAATTAATAACCAAGTGGATTCAACTTGTACAATACACTTGTGTATATTAAATTTATTTAGCGTAAAATGAGTATTTTATGTTGAAAGTGGTTATTTTGTCGTGTGGAATGGTTAACTTACTCTGTTTTCTGTGAGACTAAGTACAGATGATAGCTCGGCCACATCCATACTACTTAGATAGTGGGTCCTCCGGAATTTATGCTCCAAAACTGCCACTTGGTGTTGGGTAAATGGCACACGAGGATTTCTTCCTAATTTTCTCTTTTTTACGCCATCTTTCTTTTTCAGACCTACGTACGTATTAAATCTTTTTACATTAGCTAAACAATATGTAAGAACTTAATTTAGACAACAAAAGCAATATGTAAGAGCTAAATTTGGACAACAAAAATAAGAATGAACATCTAAATAAAATTGCTTTTCTTTCAATGAATAATGTAACAAACATATTGCATTGATGTGTAATGTGAAGAAAGAAAACTGAACTCCTCTAATAAAGAGGTCTTGTTGCTGTTTTTATATTGATTCATCCGGTTTTCCTCATCAGTTTGCAACTCCGCGTTTACTGTGACATGATTAGGTATTTGGCATCAACCGAAGCAAAAGCACTTTTTCACACCCTCCCATCTGTCATATTTAAGTTAATTTTCAGGTATGGCAAAGATTTGTACAGACTCATCTGATATACCTCCTTAAGATATTTCTGGTGTAATTTGTTGCTGATAAAGGACACAATAGATTCACGGGAAGTTTAATGGCTATGATGATACGGTGGGATACGAGATCTCTTTATCTAATTAGTTAGTGATTTGCCTCGGGAAATTAATATTCCAGGTAGATCCCTCAAGGAACATCATTTACCGGAGACAGAAAAATTAAAACATAAAAGAAGGAGAAATAATATTGTATTAACTGCGCGTAAAGACACAAATTAAAACATAACAGTTATTCATTAAATGTTTCATATAAAACAATTTATGACTTAATTTCCTCTGAAGGTAATACGAATTGAGCACAAAACGGAAGTCTGAGAGATATTAAAAGTCTTCAGCATTTTTTACTTGCCTATGATCAGCTCACACATGTTTATATACTACGTTTTACCGTACATATCCTAATTGTGGACAGGATTTGTTGGGGGAGGAGGAGGTTTGACCATCAGAATTGATAACTGTGATACCAAAACTTGATTGTCGAGATATAATAAATCAAGCAAAAAAAAAAAAAATATAATAATAATAATAATAATAACAAAAAATCGTATTAAGCTTACATATCTACATGACATCAGACACTAATCATGATTCTAAGTAAATGTTGTCCTTTTGTTCCTAAGGAACTTTGCCTTAATTAAAAAAAACTCTATCTTGCACGCCTTCCTATAGCACAGGGGTATTGTATGAATCGATTAAACAAAATTGGAATGTTCGACAAATTTGTTTATGAATAGAAATTCTCAGTCCTGTCGTGAAATTTAACCATTCAATGATTTTATGGCATCTTTGCTTTTTTCGCAGATTATTCACACTAAATAAACTTATATGTAATGTTTGAGTCTCATATGTTCTGTTTTCATCTGTGTAAATTATATATATCAAAACTGTTTTTAATTATCTTGTTACACAAGAAATATATTGCTACTAAATAAAGACGCAGACAAAAAGATATGTTAAAACTTGTGGTAACGATTGATAGTTTTCTTTCTGATATTTAAAGTTGCTCCCCTTTTTCACAAATAACAGTCTTAACCTTCCAAATATCTTTTTTAGTGGTTTGAATGTTTGAGCAAAGGTTTTCTTTATTTGACCCCAAAATTTTAGATTCAGTTTTAATTTGGACTGCTTCCTGGACATGAAAGTGTTGAAACTGTATTTTGAAATAACTCTCTTGTGCTCAGAAGGAGATACAATGTACTTTATAACGTTGATACCAGAGGAAATTTTAGTTATTTATATATAGCACCATGCCATAGCTAAAAAAAATAGTTTCTCAAACGCAATGCAGTTTCACACCTCCTTGGATGGGAAGCCGTCTTGATTTAAACACAAATGAAAACATTTGGGGTCGAATTAAGAAGACTGACCAATGCTAAAACACCCAAATATCAAATGAGATACGTGAAAGGCACTCTGACGAGAATGGTTCTTAATCCCATAAAGGTTTTGTAAAAACTTTATTTACAGCATGCTTGGTTGCATGAAGATTGTCCTTCGTACAAAATGGAAAGCGTCCCAGTACATTTACTGAAAAAGTTTAATATCAATCATGAGTCTTAATACTATAATAAAACTGTAAAAATCATCATATCTTTTGTTTTAGAAGTAAAAAATTATTTTCAAATTCTGCATCAAGTTTGTCTATGAAAACATATGAGGTTTAAATGTTTTTGAGTTGTACATATTTCCTGGATTTATAAGAGATAAATTAAAAATTTGAATGTCTGCAAATATTTTGCAATTTTTTTTTTTTTTTTTTTTTTGGTACAAAATAAAAATAAAAAAACAAAACAAAAAAACAAACCCTTCATAGCGGGAAAGAGAGTTTTGCTGGGAATAACATTTTTCCATAGTGAAATAACACACGTGAAATTTCAGTTTTATTCAATTGATGATTAACAGTACTTTACTCTTGAAAATACAATAAACTAGCATATCTGAAAACATTCATTGATTCGGCAGATATAAAAAAACATGGCAATTGTATGACTTGGTACTTTTCCTTGTAAAATATAGCATGTAAAATTTCCATCGTTCTAGAAAGTAATTAAATTATCAAAACAACAGCTGAATATGCAGTAGAAGATAATTTTGAATAGTATTTGAGGCTGCAAATGGTTAAACAAACAAGTATTTTTTCTTGTATCCCCTTAAAGTTTCTAAACATTATATTTAACGAGTTTAACAGGCTTCGCCCTTCGCTCCAACTGAATCATTTTTACTGCGCAATGATCATTTAATTTATTTATTGGGAAACTTTCATTGATGCTACAATTATTTGTCGCTTGACAGGTATAGAGGAAAAAAAAATTTGTTATTGCTTTGAGGCTTTCTAAACTGATTATTGAAATTTTAGTTCATTGGTACCTTTATATAAAATGCATCATGATCTTGACTTAATGTCGTGCCATAACTCAAAGGTCACGTCAATGTACTATAAAATTTTGGAATCTTACTGAATGAACTCCAATTTGAATGTGCTTTGTCTTTGGCCTCGAAATATATCATTGGGCACTTAAATATTAAAATTGTTTCTGAGTGTTAATTTTGGGACTCTTCAACGGATTAATTCAAACTTTTGTGTATTGTTGCATTTCATTTAAAGGTTAAAAATATCTTGACTCAATATCACAAATCAATGTTACTGCGAAATGAATGCAGAAATTGTGATACGGATACTAACAAAATATGTCAAAAAATTTGTAAAAACCATTTGTGCAAGCTTTATTTTTGTTAAAACACATATTTTCACAAAGTTTTCCTTTAACACCACCCTTATTCTATATATACGAATATATAGAAAATACACCTGAAACATCATATGAATTGAGACTTCTTCTTTGAATACACTAGATTTCCAGTTACTGAATATGATCATACAAAAATGTAAATCAATCACACATGAAATACATCATGTATCCAGGAAATCTTTAGGGATATTTTCTAAAAAATTTAATTTATTATTATTATTATTATTTTGCATTCAATTTCAATGTAGAAATCAAAATATAATTTTTGAGGAAAATACAAGCATAAGGAAGTATTCGCGATGAATATGTGTTTTAGCAATCCTTAAACCTGTACAAGCCGTTTCTCAAATTTCTTTAACATATTTTTTAGTATTCTATGTCTTTAGAAAAATGGCTTTGATATTTTTTTTTTATTTTAGCATTGAATCTCAGAATAGAAATGAAAGTACAAATAATGGGGATAATGCAAGAAAATTGATGCTTTAAAGGAAGATTTCATAATGAATATGTGTTTAGCAATCCTAAAACCTGTACAATTTGTTATACAAATTGTAACTTTTTAAAGCATGCGATGTCTGTGAGGAAACCGTTAAAGTACTGCTTTCTAAATAATACAAGGATATCAACAGTTTCGTTTAAAGTCAACATTTCGCAAATTCTATGGTCGATACAATGACCTTGTTAGCAAATTCAGTCTCATCGTTAAGTCGAATGTTGACTGACGTTTTTCATTCAAATTGATAGGAAATTATTTTCACACCAATTTTTCTACCATTTTTCCCGTTTACCCGATCATGACAAGGAGCAAACAGCGGATGTGACCGCGGTCGACAGGAGATGTTTACTCCCCTATAGCACCTGATCCCACCTCTGATATTTTAGAGGTCCGTGTTTTGCTCTGTTCCGATTTTTTTTTATTGTTCCAATAGACTTTAAAGGTTGATTACTGTTCGTTATCTTCATATTTCAAGAATGCTTTGCGCAATATATACGTGTAAACAAAATAAAGAGATAGACATTTTAGGTATCAAATAAAGAAATTTTAGAGATCAAAATAGAGATATATTATAGAAAAGAATTAAGATCAATTATTGAAAAAGTGGGTCATGTTTTAACTGCTAGTACTTTTTATATTGAAATCTGTCTTATGAAAATTAAAGAAAAAAAACAGATTACGATTCGTTTTTCTAAGTGAAGTATTCTCCGATAATTAATAATACACCATTACATTGATAAGTTTTTTTTTTCTTTTCTAATTAAAGCAAAAGACAATTCTTAAAAAATGGAGATTTAGAAATAAATATAACAGTCATTTGTTCATGTTAAAATGAAAGCGCTTATGTTTACACAATACGTTTGTCTTCAATATATTAACTTTATCTATTTTTACCAGACATTGAAAAAAAAAGTATATCATTATATATCATTATATTTTGAATACATGTACTATGTCATCTTTGCAAACAGAAATCTTCTTTTTAAAAACATTTTATGATAATGATTATTTTTAAATGTTTGTTCCGGTTAACTCTCTTCTCATTATGGTATCATAGTAAGATTAAACATCAAGTTAAATCTGACTGAATCCCATTTAATTTTAGATGGGGAAAAAATGAAATTAATTAAATGGAATTCTGTCAAATTATTGAAAAAGTCATGATTATAGGCATAAACTGCGGTTATTAAAGATTCATGACCTTTGTTTTTAAATTATCAATATAAAAATTGAAGGAAGCCATTTTCATATTACTTTCTTTCATATACCGTGCAACTGAAATTTTTGCCAACTAACATATAACACTCATTCAGAATTTTTACAGAATTAATTTTCAGAGCAAATAATTTTTCAAAAAAAAAAAAAAAAAAAGAATCCAATATCAAACAAACAAATAAACAATCTGTTAAATAATTATGAATATTCAACATGTCATGAACATATATGAAAGTTTAAACATCAAAGCGACAAAGAGCCAAGAACAATAATAAATAAATAACCAAACTCACGCGGTAACTTGGGTGGTTTATATCTAGTACACTGCAGCCAGGAAAATTGTCGGCCTGCTACAACCTCCTTTGTACTCTTGTTTTCTGGAGGTATCTCAGATACGTCCGAAATGTCTTCATTGCGACTTGCAGATGACTTGTCCTTTAAGATATTTTCAATAGAAAACTTAACAGTTTCTCTTTTTGTTTGATCCTGTTTACATTCGGTTGGCTTTTCTACTTGTGTCTGGTTCAATTGTCTTTCATTTGTAGAGGAAAATGGATGAAGAAATGCAGCTAACTGGGTGGAATGGTGATGAGTAGCAGGAAACCACATACCAAAATGACGCGGGTTGTTAGCATAAAGTGCATAATTGGATGCAAAAAAGGACGCTAGCATATCCATATAAGCTACTGTATACTTTACAATAGATAACACGACAATATGATTCTCAAGCGACGACAGCTAACTAACATTAACAGGGTACATTTATAGCCAAAGAAGGCGTTCCTTCCACAGCATTGAAAAAGATGATTACCGGCGACTAGGCATGCGCGTCACGCGTGGTATAGTATCACCTCTAATTTAACGAAGATTAATAAACAATGCAATGACATTAAGAACAAACAAGGAACACCTGAGCCAGCGTCATTTTACGATTTTCTCGTACAATATTCAACCATTTAAGAGAAACGGAGCTTTAAAACTACAAAACCATATGCTTTATCTTTCTTGCATTTTTTTTTCTTCTTGTCCAATTTATTTCCTGGTAATGCGCCTAGAAAGGATTCTTTGTCAATATCCAAAGTGGTTAAATAAGTAACTGCTTCTAGTCATTAATTGAATGAAAGCATGAAACGAAAATGATCTTAGATGTTTTCGAAATGCGTTTCAAGATGCACTTTGTCTATGCATGCTTTGAATTTTCACTGCCACATGCATATTTAGAAATGAATCCTTCATGAATATACTTTAAGAAACCCAATAAAATTGTAGATTATTTATTAAATCTATTGGTATATTGACAATAAATGGCGTCGCATTGTGTTATTGAAGGAGACAATGCGATGAGTTTATTATCAACGGGGAAATAAAAAAAATATCTGAAAACTCGATTTATATGATAGTTAACGTTAGAAAAAATTCAAAAATTGATTTTCCCCCCAAATATTTTATTAAGAATGGATTATTGCCATACTCAGGTCAAGAGTCTTGTTTACTAAGATCCTCCAGTTCACACATCAAATATATGGTTTCTGGTGAAACTTGAAAATTAAAAAATACATCTATATATGCTCAGTACATATATCTCATCGGCCTTGACTGTTTCTCAAGGTCACTCCAAAATCACTTTATTTTATGCGATGTTGTGACATGATAGATGCAATTTGCTTTTCTCACACACATACATCCTCACCCACACACTATATAAATTATATACATACCCATTCCTCTTCAATGGAGAGACTCTTCAAAGGCATATTTATTTTATTGTTTATAAAATAAATGATTTCTACAAAGAAAGAAATAAAATTATTTATAGAATTATCTAAATTATCGTAATTAATTTTCTTTCTTTTTTAACGAAATCGGACAAAATTTCCATACTACTTTAACTGTATTACTAAATATGTCATATTTCTAGTTTTTTACTTTACTTTCCTATATTAATATAAGTTATGGAGCATTTTAAGAAACGTACTCAAAAAAATGTATAAAATATAAAAAAAATTTCCACTATGAAAGAATGAATAAAAAGGCCAACAGGAGAAAATTCTATATAATAGGTGATGATATAATTTCATTTGTTAAAAGTCAGTGCCCTATAACGTAATCCTTTTATTTTCATCTTATCACTTAACTGAAGTGATAAAGAACATAAAAATTAAACACGTTACGTTACTATTTACTACTGTGTGAACACTGAAATATGAACAGGCTATTTAACTAAACTAAATACTTAACATCCTTTTCTTTATTTGTTTCGAATCCGAGGTAATATTAAGTTATCTTACTGTATACTAGTGTGTGAACACTGAAATATGAACAGGCTATTTAACTAAACTAAATAATTAACATCCTTTTCTTTATTTGTTTCGAATTCGAGGTAATATTAAGTTATCTTACTGTATACTAGTGTGTGAACACTGAAATATGAACAGGCTATTTAACTAAATAATTAACATCCTTTTCTTTATTTGTTTCGAATTCGAGGTAATATTAAGTTATCTTACTGTATACTAGTGTGTGAACACTGAAATATGAACAGGCTATTTAACTAAACTAAATAATTAACATCCTTTTCTTCATTTGTTTCGAATTCGAGGTAATATTAAGTTATCTTAAACTATAAAAAGAAGTGTTTCAAAACTATCAAAAATACCACCTGTTTTTTTGTTTTTTGTTTTGTTTTGTTTTTTTGTTTGTTTGTTTGTTTGTTTTTGTTTTTGTTTTTTTTTTTGTTGGTTTTTTGGGGTTTTTTTGTTTTGTTTTTTTGGGGGGGTGGGGTGTTTTGGTTTTTTGTTTTGTTTTGTTTGTCAAAACAACCAAGGTTTTAAGCTTTATACAGTACAGCCTAATCCGTCCCGAAGCAAAGTTAATTAAGTTTAATAAAAAAAAAGACGAAGATAACAAGACTTTAACACATCCTCATATCCAATTTCTGTTTTTGGAATATACATTTATTTGCAACAGGTTAATTCTATTAATCGATACAAAGTTGACTGATTAATCGAATAATTGTCGATTAAACCCAACCAACAATTCATGAATTATGCTCGTTTTGACAAATGGTAGACTGTGTATATTTTCAGTGTATTTTGAGCAGTAGCTAATCGATTGGTGCAAAACAAAAACCATATTCCTAGAACTCTTATAACATTTTAAGCATGCAGTAGCCAAATGATATTTTGGAATAGGATTGATGGTGTAATGTAGATGTGCAACAAGATTTTGGACTTTCATCTTCATCCTAAGATTCAATTAGGGGTCAAAAACCGAAGTTTTTTACCACTACATTTTCATGGGCTGGTTCGGTCCCTTGAGTGTAATGCAAGCCTGCTAAAATTGATGCATGTATATTTATATAAATTATAAAGAAAACTATTGTGGCTTCTTTGTTAGGTACCGAAGGCGAGTACATTTAGAGGCAAACACTTCGCGTGTTGATATTTTTGTCTTATTATGACATCTTGTTAGCTTGTTGATAGTGTATATCAGAAGATAAGTATATTTTGCATATTTTTCTGTTTTCTTTTCAAATTAACAAAAATGTGGTCATGGGGCAAACCCCCCATTACTTCAAAATTTTTTAACCAGTTTTTCTCGAGGAATTTCTTGTTTAAAAAAATCTTTTTTTTCTCTAGGGGAATCGGAAAACATTTTTCTACAAAACCAAACTCCTCTTACATATTACGCTGTAGCCAATAAATGTTCAATAAGGTTTCGGAAATTTTATTACATCTTGGAGGCCAACTGTGGGCCGAGAAACAGCTTTTTTCTACAAAAACAGTGTTCCCAGAACTTCCTAAACTTTAAGAAGTATATCATGAAATCATCTTTTGGATATGATTGGTGGTGTCCTATAGATAAACAATTAGGTTTTCGGAATTTTCCACCCTACCAATACTGGATTTCTAAACTTCATAAAAACCCTTACAAAGATACATTGCCATGTCCAGCAAATGCTCTTTCAAGCCCCTATCTTTAACTCTCACAAAATTATTAACTGCTATTAAAATGGAAATCTCAGACGTACTTTGCTACAGCATATTCGAAAAGTGGTGTAAATCAGATGTAGTTTCTCAAAATCCACAAAGAACTTTAAGAAAATTTAAAATCACAATTTTTTTCTCATTTTAGACAATTGTTCCCCACAATAAATTAAAAAAACTAAGCTTTTTGATGTTATAGACAACTTCTTTTTCAATAAAAATCGAACTCAGAAATTTTCATACCTGGTGATTTGTAATCAACAGAATTACTTTTTTAAAAAATCACTCTACACACGAGTACTCTGAAGCTGATATCAAAAGGATGCTGGAGTTCCTCTTTAACAATATCTATAAAGACTTTGTAGATCAGGTCTTCCAACAAACTGTTGGCATTTCGATGGGCAATAATTGTGCTCCTTTATAACCTGACCTAATTTTGTGTTCCTATGAATTCACTCAAAAACTTCTTACATAAGAAGAAGAAAACACTTGCTATGGCCTTCAACTCCACATTATGATATATCGACGACGTTTTATCAATTAACAAATTACTTCAATTTATGATCGACTCGATATATCCCAGTGACCTCGATATTAAAGACAATCGGAGTCTGCCACACTTTTTTCATATTTGAATATTTTTCTGACTATAGACGATAAGGGTCAACTAACAACTAAACTGTATGACAAACGAGATGAATTCAGCTTTAATTTCCATAAGCTTTAATTTCAGCTTTAATTTTCCTTATTTATGTAGTAATATTCCGCTATCACCTGTGTATGGTATTTATGTCTGCTGTGAGTACGATCAATTTTTAAACCGAGACAGGCTACTGACAGATACGTTGATGTTACATGGATTTCAACAACTTCGTTTCATTTTGTAAATTCTATGGTCGTTATAATGATCTTTTAAACAAATACATCCTATCATTGGAACGATTATTGACTGACATACGAGTATTTCATATCATATTTTATATCAATTGCTAGGCCTTTGTTTTTATACTAATTTGACTACGGAATGTTCCATAGCGCTCACAGCGGAGTGACTTGTCGATAGGGGGTTGCTTACTCCTCCTAGGCACCTGATCCCATTCCTTAGATTCCAATGTAAAACTTCTACTCCTTATTGTGTGTCACTCCTAGCAAACAGGGGTGTGTTTAAATAAATTGATTCCACTTCACATAAATGTGTTATTATTATCATATGACCAGTTTTGGTCTTCCGGTCCGTTCTTGATGATAAAGAATTTAAAAGGTCTTCATATATATGATATAACTTTGTCTGGAGTTGTAATTTGAATGAATCTACATAACGTGAAAGTGTTTGCATATCAGTAGAACTTGTCCCTTATTGCAATCTTTTTGGACAAAGGTGATTCTACACAAAGTGGAGATACTTGTATATTAATATAACTTATTAAAAATTGGTGCACTATCGTACCTAGGAAAGTTTATTTAAAAAGTTCTGTCGTCTATATATTAGTAGAAAATGTGGTTCTCGATTGGTCTCACCCAAGGCCGCGCCCAAGGGTCATGATATGAACAGACTTGACTCAAAACCACACAAGGGTGCTTGATCATTCTGACTATGACAACTTGTGGTCTTTTTGTTCTAGA